TACATCAATCATTTGTAGACTCCACCTGGTAGTATATTTAGGCTAATGTATAAGAAACAACAATAAGGCAATTAATATTTTTCCTAAACCTAACCATGATTTTATTATCGTATTTATTACTGTTTAATATACATTTGTAGACAATGACGCTAGTGCTAGCTTGATCGTATGTATACTAGCTAGCTGTGATGTGGCCTGTGCTAAACCCAGTGAGTACATGTATGTACCTACAATACAGTTATAACTATCTATACAGATAACAGGTGATTAAAAGCCCTTACCTGGCAGACGGGCAGCCCCAGGACCCACTGATGTGCCACGATGTTGACGGTACTGAGAGGCATGACCACCGTCCCCACAGCCAGGTCTGACACAGCCAGACTCACGATGAAGAAATTACTGAGAAAACATGGGAGAAGGTAAATGAATCTAGAGTACAGTTATTATTATCTATACAGATAAATGGTAATAAAAGCCCACGATGTTGACGGTACTGAGCGGCATGACCACCGTCCCCACAGCCAGGTCTGACACGGCCAGGCTCACGATGAAGAAATTACTGTGAAAACACAAGGTATGATATAGATGTGTCCAGAACTTTGCTTTATTCAGAGCCATGCTCAGGCACATTTTAAGTTAAGCACAGTGATACATTTATCCAGAACGCTCAGGCAAGGTTCTAAATAGTCTGCACGTATCCAGAACCATGTCTTGGACAGTTCTACGTTCACACATCACACACACACACGCGCACACACACACACACACACACAACACACACACACACACACGCACACACACACACACACACACACACACACACACACACACACACACACACCGTGACACACACACACAAACAAACGTCGACTAAAAACAACATTTAGTTAACATCTCAGAGAAAAACAAACAGCCCTACCTGACAGTTTGCAGGTCCCTGTTGGTGCGTACGGCGTGTAGAACCATGGCGTTCCCCACACTGGTCAGTAAGCACAGGGAGCCCAGCACGATCCCGAGCGCCACGTCAGTCCACAGCGACCCTCCGTCAACCTGCCCAGTCCCCGTCACATTCCTCAGGCTAACGTTGTACGCTCCCGTTGGGAGGAAGTCCGTCGCAAAGTCCGCCACTGTAGAGGTGTTCCACCACGACATGTTTGGTTTGTGGGACGGACGGTTTCACCTGTAAGGGCGGGAGGGTTGGACTGGCTAAGTCAGCGTGTGCCACCGACTGCGACTTGTAACGCTCCCGGTAAAGTCAGCAACTCGCCGGAGGGTCTCCAGATCTCAAATTCGCCAGAGTCGAGCGTTGTAATTTTTGCTTGAAGCGTTACACTATCGCGCTGACCAGGGCCCATTGACTACAGACCAGATAATGTCCACAGATCCTTACTCCGCATTGCTGCCGGACTTTCCCATTTTGAACTGACAGTCTCGTCGGACGAACTGTTCTCCCGCTGAACGTTGCTCTTGTGAGGCGTGAACAAGAAGAGTCGATACGAATCAAACAGACCGCACACGCACTACTGCCTGTACCGTTGCGAACGCCGTATCTCTTCAACAGCATGCACTACCGGTGCGAATGCCGTATCTCTTCAACAACATGCACTACTAGTGCGAACGCATTGCTGCCGAATTTTCCCCTCTTTGAGCTGACAGTCTCGTCGGATGAACTGTTTCCCCGGCTCTAAAGGCGTGAACAACAGTCGATACGAATCAGACAGACCTCACATGCACTACTGGTGCGAACGACATATCTCTTCAACAACATGCACTACCAGTGCGATCGCCGTATCTCACCACCCAACAGGCTGTATATTTTCCCCGCTGACTGCATCTGACACAGATAAACTACACACTCCCCTGCACTTAAGCGTCGCCACCCTCTTAATGGAGCCTTAAGGTCCTTCCCTCCAGCCATCCAAAGTATGTCAAAACACCCAACTTAATTACCCACGACGCTGACGCGAGAATAAGGCCACACCGAGTTAATTTTATGGATGGCATTCTCTAAAGACCCGTAAACTAGTGCGCGCGGGCGAATGAAAATAAAATTCCGGCCAAAAATAAAAAAAAAGTCCTACTAAACCACAGGAATACACAGCTGGTATCGTGAATTTGTGGCAGTACTTAGCGACGTATACGACAAGCCGGCACATGCTTGCTCTAGTTTTGCGAAATTCATGAATCGGCACTGCACTAAATTCCCCGTATTGTCGCTAGCTATAATGGCCTACCCAGGCTAGCTATCATGGCCTACCCAGGCCAGAGCCTTGGAGGACGTGATCTTTTTTTTTTGACAACAGGCGAAAATCAATGCGCGCGCGGATGTCATCCATAAAACTAAGTCGGTGTGGCCTAAGTCCGTCTGGCAAAGACTAGGAATCCCGCTCCAACACCAATGAAAAAGACTTTGAAATTCGTAGCATAGCGTGTCCTTGTAAAACAAACTATACGTACAAATACGGCAGGGGTTTTGTGAGTGAGAGCGGGAGTACTAGGAAGCCGGGAAGCGTTGGCGTAATCCGGGTGAGTGAGCGCCCGTGAGAGAAGGTCTCCCCGCTAATCTGTACAACCATATGTCACCTTCTGCTGGCAACATGCCACACAGATATACAGTGTGGTGTGCTTCAAGCAGATGTGATGTTGGTTGGGGGTTCGGTTTTGTTTTGTGTTGTGGTGTGGCAAGATGAACAGAAACTTTAGACACATACATGAAACGTACACCTACAAACGTGTGTACTTTAAGGTTATATTGAGTAGTTTTAAAAGGTTTCAGCTATACATGGAAGCAAGCTTAAGGGCGTATGACGTGTGTGTGTGTATGTGTGTGTATGTGTGTGTGTGTGTATGTTTGTGTGTGTGTGTGTGTGTGTGTGCGTGTGTGTGTGCGTGTGTGTGCATGTGTGTGCATTTGTGTGACCCTATACGTCTATGTGTGTGTGTGCATGTGTTTGTGTGTGTTAGTGTTAGTGTGTGTCTGTGTGTGTATGTGTGTGTGTGTGTGTGCATGTGTTAGTGTGTGTGTGTTAGTGTTAGTGTGTGTCTGTGTGTGTATATGTGTGTATGCATGTGTGAGACTGTGTATGTGTGTGCGTGAGATTGTCTGTGTGTGACTGTGTGTGTTTGTTCCTGTATGCTTCCCTGTGTAAGATTAAATTCATTCTTGATGTATAGTGGATTAAATCTTGCTCACCACATGATCCACCACAGGCTTAACTCCATCATTCATAAGGGCACAAGGGTCATAAGGGTCTCAGATTCGCAACCTGTTATCCACCTTAAACAAATCCACGCGAGGGCCGCTGTGTCAACTGTAACCCTCACTCAGGTGTAGGGACTGACACGGTCATACTACTCGGAAAATCTGTATATCTGTACATGAATCTGTATCTGTGCATGAATATGTACCTGTACATGAATCTGTATCTGATTGCAAATAAAGAAATCGAGTGATTGCCATAAGGGCAAGGATAAAATTTTCATCGACCAAACTCAAAGTCACGACAAACTGCAACCTAGAGACAGAGATAAAGGCTAGGTAACAGGTGACGATGAAAAAAGGAACCAAAGTTGTCCCAAGTCACGAACGGAACAAGGGCATGTGACAGCTTTTAGGTCGCTCGATAATCACGCTTTAGACGAGCCGGAAATGTTCGACTGGAGAGGGGGTGGGCGGTGGAAAGAATGTACAGGGGGGGGGGGTGTTTTACGGTTAAAAAGTCGAGGAACCTGACAGATGAAACATTGGATAACAGAAATAAAAACAAGAAAGGTATATACACTCACTCACAAAGTGAAAACATGGAGCATTAAAGGAACCTTCGTCCCAAGAACACTCTTTGTGGTCAATACTTTGGGGGCTGGATGACCTCGATATCAAGTTGTATCGACCTGTTGCTATTTTAGACACACAAGTCGTGTCCCTTTCAATTTTGAAAAGACGAGAAACAACATCCTAATGGGATTTGGCTCTTTTTCCAACTGCTGAACTGTTTGCGGAAGGAACAAAAACACAAAATGCAACTTAGCTTCAGTCAATTTTAGTGAATAGGTCACAGAAGACTAAAGCAAGAGTATAGAATGTAATAAATCTTTACATAGTATTACGAACATACCGATCTAAACTTGTACTTGAGCTACAGTCCATTAAAATGCTAATCAAGGACACCAACATATGGCGACCAGCATCTGCTGTATCCAGAACACGCCTAAAGTATGGTTCTGGATAGTACACACATATCCAGTACTGTGTCTGAGGCCAATCTACGTTCTTGGATAAACGTATACCATCCAGAACCCTAGCCCTAACCCATTCAGAACTAGACACGGTTCTGCATACTGCCCCATTCATTGATACGGAAAGTGACTTACTTGTTTATATCGACTGCACCATGACTTTCCACATCTTGAATCACCATCCTAGCTCCCTGAGTGAAGTCGGTATGACCCAAACACGTATGTCCGGATGGATAGTCCACGTGTGTCCAGAACCGTACATTAGGCCACACCAAGGAAATTTTATGGATGACGTCCGCGCGCGCATTGATTTTGGCCTGTTCCTAGAAAAAAACACAAGAAATTCCACTTCCTGTAACTATGACAAAAGAGTCACGACAGTGCCACAAATCGTCAGATTGACGTGAAACCCGTGACGCAAGAACAGGACAGGACGACAACTGCTGTTCCACCTGATTTATTGCTGTTTTGATGATGAATAAAAGACTTCTTGCTTGTTACACTGTTGTCACCTCATTCAATTTGTGTCCTAACATTTGTCGTCTCTTAGTATATTTCTATTTTCTAATGTAGGCATCTTGTTTTTTAGGGCCTTTCTTGTTTTTTTTCGCCCTCTCGCATTAGATTTAGGGTCTCCAAAGGACGTCATCCATAAAATTTACTTGGTGTGGCCTTATCTAGAACCGCGCCGCTCTAGCACAGTTATGGCTCGTCCGCAGCATAGATTTTCGCATCTTGAATCACAGCCCTAGCTCCCTGAGAGAAGTCAGTATGACCTGCACACGTCCCAGGTATGTCCGGACGGATAGTCCACGTGTATCCAGAACCGTAATTTATGTGCACAGTCCTGGCTTGTCCATGCATTTTCAGAACAGTACCTTGACTTCAGCAAGACTTTTCACATTTTGAATCACCAGGATCCCCACCCTAGCTCCATGAGAAAAGTCAGTATGACCTGCACACGCCCCAGGTATGTCCGGATGGATCATTAGATCTCTTGTCAGCCCAATTAGCCGCTAGACCCTCGCTACAAGTAAATACCCGACTAAGGCTGGGCTGTATTAGTTATACGATCGTAGTTAATCTTTCGTACAAAAAACCGTACTAATCCCTACGAAGACTATGGTCGTGCTGTTAGGAAGTAATTTAAACTTACAATACGGTGAATTATCGAAGTTCAAACGGAACTGTTTCGTCGTTCTTTCATAAGCCCAATTAGCCACCAGACCCTCGCTATAAGTAAATACCGGAATATTGACTCACGGGACAGTCGTGTATACACGGGGTGCGCTGAGGACTGTAATCGATACACAACGAACGATCTTATCACAGAACTGGTTAAGTCTGAAGACGATTACGGCTACGATGCAAGAAGCGGAATGAGGTTAATGATTTTGTGACAAAATACATAGGATTTTGCTTGTTGATAATTGACTTGTAAGCACTTTTGCATCCATATTGGATTAAATTATTAGACTAAAACATCAATCATACATAAATATAAGTACACGTGAAATTCAAACTGAAGTCGATATACAGCGAACGATCTTATCACAGAACTGGTTAAGTCTGAAGACGATTACGGTTACTGTGATGCAAGAATGAGGTTAATGATTTTCTGGCAAAATTGGTAGGATTTTGCTTGTTACTGATTGACTTGATTTCTAAACTTGTAAGCACATTCGTATTAGATGTAGACTAAAACATGCAAACACATAAATACATCATGTGTGGCATTCAAACTAAAGGCTGTGCTCAGCAAATGAACTTATAAGAGAACTGTTTGAGTCTGAAGGCGATTATAATCACGGCTACAATACAAGAATGGAATGAAGATATAGATTTTTTTACAACTTGAAAATATGTAGGATTTGTCTCTTTCCAGGTCTTACTGAAGGCAGAGCGTCTTAGGCATA